GTAAAGTGTTTCTAATGCGCCGATCAATTCGAAGCTTCAACATCCCCTCCCCGGGAAACCCATGGACATTTGACTGTAGTCCGTGCCCGGTGGGTGGTAATTTTGAACCTTGCCAGGCTGGAGTGAGAAACTTGAATAGGAAGTGTCAAGTCTTTCCGGTGAGAATACAATGGTTTTCATCTTGAATAAGCAGGTGTTTATGGTAAGGAGGTCACTTTCACGCAGAAGATCGTTCGTCGCTGATCATCCATCGCTGATTTTGCCTTTTACATAAAAATTTACCGTCAACTCCGGCAAATCAGGTGGGAAATTTGAACACAATCAACAAACCAATCTTCAGAAGTAAAATGCCCTGGGGTTTGCCCGGAGAAAATGTTAAAGCCTCGAATTGATCGACCGATAAAACTGATCGCTAGCCCCTCATCAGTCACTCTGAGATTACAATTTACGTTAAATCTTGCGCATACACGAAAATTTCTATGTATTAATTGAAAGGTCTATATGAAACGCATCGTTGTCAGATGTCTATTTCCGATAGACATGCTACAAGCGTTTTCTCTACAGAAATTTACTGCATAACTGAATTGCCATATATAGATTAACACGCAAAAAATCATAAGGTGTATTAACGAGAACATAAAAATAGACTATTACGTCCTCATTAACTGCAAGGCACTTCTGATGTCCCATTTAAGGTAAAGCCATTTTAATTAAACTACAACTGCCAAAAGAGATGAAGAGGTGGCTTATTTGCAACGATGATGTGGAAAACCATTGAAGAGAACAATCACCTTTACCAAAAAATACAAAGACAAAGTTGTTTCCTTTCGTGTGACAACACATTCTTGTAGCAACATGGTTCGAGATACCTCAAGATCTTAAGATTTGATGTAAACATGTATATGCACGTTCTGCAAAAGAGATTTGTATCGCCAATGGGGACTAGTGAATGGATAAAGACACTCTTATTTCTGTGACAGTGATCTTAAATGCACCTGACATTGTATTAAAGTTGTAAGGAGAATTTGCACACCGCTCACTCTGAGGAGTAAAGGGTTAGTACCGAAGATCTCAAGGTTGGTAATCGACCCCAGTAAGCATGCACAATGGCCATTATTTCTTTATCTTGTTACGGGAAGCCATTTGTGATGATTTATCACCAATGGAATTAAGTGTCCGATATGGGCATGTATGGGGAAAGTATCTATTCATTTTATTCCAGAAGATCAAGCAAAATTATAGAGGTGTATTAATCCTTTTTGCTGGTCAATCGTACCTACGACATGTAATATTTTTCCACCTCCGCCGGGCAGAATATTATAACATTACAAAATGCCGATATAAACATAACTGCTTCTGCAATTTTGGTCTGGCGAAAATCAATTACGGTATTATGCTAAGAAAGTTAAGAAATAAGCACCTAGTATTTTAAAAATACATTAAATTGGAAATAAAATCAAATGAACACGCCTCTCATGTCTTATTATTCATCCGGGTCTTGAAAATATTCACTGATAAGATGAGCAGAGTCATTCTCGCGGGCTGGGAGCCAGTTAATGGCTATGTACTTGATGCCTTTCTTCACGATGCATCCCCCATGTAATGATCTATCATCTCTGTGGTTCATCTAGCCGGTTTTTTCATCCAGTTCATAACTATACCACATGATAGCTTTTCCTTTCTTGGCTGGTACAACGATATTAGCTGTTTCACAATACTCATTTAAATTGAAGCGATCGCCATATTTACGGTCCCTAAATTCCTAGGAGATAAAAGCACTTTTATTTATTTTAGTTATGTTTTAACGGTTGGGGAAGATTTTCTTGATCATTTTGGCCACTTAACAACTAAATTCCATGTCATCGTGCGCACGAACCGTAAGTGAGTATGGCGATGTTGTCAGTAATTTTCTTATCTATTCATTACATTCCACCCCTCCTCTCATTTTTCCTTTTTGTGTGCGTGTGCGTGCGTGTGTGTGCAAGTAGCTATAGAGTAAGTATTTGTACATTAGTTGATGTTAGTAACGAATCATGACAGGCTGCACTCACTGTTTCATTGAAATCTTTCATATCTGCTACAGGAAAAACTGTTTCACCTCCTTCTTCCACGTCATTTAGTTAGTAAAGAATAATGATGTACCTGTACAATTAAGAAAACATGTTGTCATTCAAGAATATCAAAGTATGTATGTGATAACTTTACAAGGCATGAAGTAACATCGCATATAGTTTATCACAAATCAGTAACCTGAACACACCGGCATCACGTAGTAGAATTGGACTTGAATGGCTGGAAGCAAAATGCGTGGTTGAAAAACAGCGATTACTGTGGGGATCAACATCCATTGTCTTCTTTTTACTAGAGCCCCTGATTAAATTGATGCAGTGCAAGTGTAACCATGATGTGACCTAAAGGCTACTAAGTCATAGAAAAGCGGCCAGGCATTGCGGTTGTTGAAATTGAAAGACGTCACAGCCAAAATACGCAGTTTGAAAACACGTCACTATTGTGATGATTGGCCTCATGATGCATGGACCGACCAAATGTTGTCTCGTTGTGTAACAAGAATATGTATTCCAATGCAAACCTATGTAATTTTGGCAAGTGAGTGCTCAGTGATTTCTTAACAAAAATTATGGCCGCCATCATTGATTTTAATGGCAGCAGGAAGGCTGGAGAGAGAAATAAATTTGTACCAAAGGGGTGGTTGATGGTCAAAAATAAGGAGAGGGGTGCGGGTGGGTGAGTGAAGATTATGCCCCACCCCCTATCCCCGCCGTCCACTCTAACTGCAAATCAACCATGGCTGGTCAGATAAATGATTGCTAGCTCATAACATCAGCTCATACTAATAAGATGCCTACACTGCAAGCTATATGCAATTTAGAGACTACAAAATTCCGGTCTTCTCGTGAACTCAAAACCCCCTCAATTTTGTTTGCTGTTGAAGGCTCAGAATAAATAAATAAAACATCTCACTACCGAGGTAATAATTTTTTAAAACCATACACTTATATTCATTTGCCATGTCCTGCGTTTTTTTACACAATTTATGTTTGCAAAACAGCTTGAAAAACTAATTAATTGAAAGATGTTTGTCAAAAAACAACACCAATCTATTCACCGAAGAAAGTCTACATGTATCCACCACAACCAAGAGTCTGAACAATGATCCCTTGTCAATTTTTGGTGAGGCACCACTGCTTTGTAAGCTTCACCAAATTTTTCTATGTCCAATATAATATGAACTTTAAAACTAGAAACATTCAGAAAATGTCTTAAAATTTACTCATAGTTAACCGTGTACCAAAGGAAACTGACAACATCTTAATTAGCTCCTTGGTCTACATACCTCATACCTCAATAGTTTCTTCATCTTCTGAACAGCTGTCTTCATCATATGAATGTTGTATGGATTGTCTACAAAAAATGATAAATCTCCCATTTCTCTGATCAGCAATGCCACAGCTGTAGAGTGTAGCACATGTAAATCAATACCATGACTGTAGTATTAACCCTTTACACCCTGATATTAATATTCATATTCTCCACACTTTCTCTTTACAATAACTATGGCACTGACAAGAAAAACTTGTTTGACATTTGGGAGATTTGTAAATTGGTGATCATTTCCTATAATCTCATGACCTTTACATTTGATCCAAGGGTGATATTGCAAGGAGAAATTAGAAGCCAGTCACCCTCAGGGGTTAAAGGCTTAAGTTACTTTGATAAACAACAACAGTAAGTCACAAAATAGAATCCCGCTAACTTAAACTCTGTTAAGTTGAACTTCCTGATAACTTGCTCAAGATCTGATTTCCCTTGACCCCATTTATTTAGTCATTTACTACCAGCTAACTTGAACCCTGTTAAATTGTATATTTTGTATCCCCTGGGAGTTTAATTTAGAGGGGTTCTTCTATACCTACATGTACATAATTGCACAACTGAGCAGGTTTGTTATACCA